ATAAGGTCCGATTTTCTTATCAGGAACCAGAGGACGACCACTGGTTTACCAGAACTGAACTTCTAGAAACAGCTCCCAACATAGTCCGAGCCTACGAAAGAGATAAGAAGGGTAGAGGTCCTGCCTTGGACTGAGATATTCTCGGAGGACCTCGAATTTAGGCCGGAGGGAGTGAAACGGTTTTCACCTCCACAGTAGCGGATGCAGATCCTGTGTACAGTACCCCTTTGTGTTTGAACTCATGACCTGCGTCTTAGGAGGCTGCTGTTGTCCGTCGTAGGCCAGTATAGTCATCGGGTCTTGAACTGGAGTCCTGTCGAGTAGGGGTCAAGTTTGTAGTAGAGGTCGTAGTTGTAGTAGTTCTGAAGGGTCAAGGTTGTAGCTGCTATAGTCCTGAAAGGTCAAGGTCGTAGCTGCTACAGTGTTGAAAGGCCAAGTCCACAGACTTTTGGAAGGTCCAGAAGTGGCCTTTCAAACATTGTCCACAGTAGACCAGAGGCAAGTGGGCAAGTGGTGAGTCTAACTTCGCCGAGTCAGCAGTGCCCAGTACAGTCAGCAAGTACCATGAGGGACTGTGTGCATGAGGGACTGTGTGCACCAAGGGCCCGGTGGAACAGGGGCAGACCAACGAGTGACAAAAGTATAAATCAAGAGGCAGCGTCCAGCTATTCATTCATTCCTGCGTAAGCCATGCGGAAGCGCTGCCTGAGCGACTTGTGCGAGGTGCAATGAACCCAGATTGTGAAGACACTTGTCAACAATGCAAGCCCAGATAGATATCAACCTGCTGATGATTGTCAATAATCAAAATCGTGTCCAGATAGAATGAGGTGGGGGAAACATACACATACAAAAGAGAGGGAAGGGATAATAGACTTGATTGGAGAAGAAACAATGCCCACTTCTGCTTTGGGCTCCCTTCCCAATCGCCACCTCGGTAATCAATGGTGCGAACACAAATCTGAAGTTCTATCTCAATGTGCCACGTGGCACGTCAACCTGTCATCATCAGCGAGCTGGGGCAGTGTCGACATCAAGAGACCAGGTATGTATCTACAATCGCCCCACAGTCTTGATCTCCTTCTGAGTGACGATGAATCAGAACAGCAATATCAGACAGGTAGCCCCGCCACGCCAACAATAGTACATGTGGCAGCAGCCACATCAGCGGCGGCGCGTGGCAGCTGCAACGTCAGCATGCCCAAAAGACAATTGCCAGCCAGCCACCATGTCGAGCCGCAGCGCGTCACCATAGTCGCTCAAGTGCTAGCATAGAGCCAGCGTCCCAGCCAGCGTTGCAGCGCCGCGCTAACGTCGTAGTCAACGTGAAGTCAGCATTGACGCAAGACAGAATGGTCTCCCAGCCAGGTAGTCCAGGCTTATGTAGTGTTGACGCGGTGTCTGGACCCCGGTTGCTGCTTTCCTAAGTCGTCGAGATCTCCAGACAAATAGCGGCTCAGATTTGCCTGAAACTGAACTCCCTGTGGCCTTGATGCTGTCCGGTTAGCTGCGCACAACAAGTGAATGTATCCGACCAAGGGCCTGGGCGTGGTACCTTTGACAGTTGACTTAGACTTTTGACTTTCCTAGGCAGTGCGTGGTCACACTGCTTGGCGCTGGCCGAGTTTGGCCTGCGTCGTCTGGGCTCCGTTTCGAGGGCCCAGACTGCTGCAGAACACGGGTTACTGCATTCCTGCCGACCCATTTTCGAGTTCCATCGCAGAAATAACTAAGATAACCCACGTTCATATGCAAATACAATATCAGGAGCAGTTCCAAGTAATTCGCGTTTACTGAACCATCTGTCCTCAGATGGTGCCTGAGATTTGAAACGTACCTTGAACTGCTTCTGGGGTCGTCCACGTCCACCTATAGAAAAGTACCCATGCTCTATGATTCTGTCTACCTCATATCCGCCGTCCATATCTGGCGGAATCATAGAAGGTCTGTGTGGGACCTCATGTCCTTCTACATAGGGTAACAGTTTGGACGCGTGAAAGACATGATACGTTTTGAGGTGAGGGGGAATATCAATTCGATAAGACGGTCCCTCTGCATCCCCAATTACTTTGAGAACTTCCCAGGGTCCAAAATAGACGGGCAGAAGTTTGTGAGACACATTTTCTTCCAACGAAAAGTCTTTGGACTGGACCCAGACTCGATCACCTTCCTTGAATGTTATTCGAGAAGACTAATGTAGTCGACCGCCTATGCGTTCCCAATAGTGAGGAGATTCGCAGTCTGATCCTAGGGGAATGCCACGATACAGAGGGACACTTCGGTTGGCAAAAGACATTAGCCAATCTTATGCACGCGTACACATGGCCAGGAATGAAAAACGACTGCATAGAGTATGTCCGCAGTTGTAAAGTCTGTCAGAGGAACAAGACTACTACGCGTGCCCTTCTAGGTCTTCTCAGACCCTTGCCCATTCCAGACCAGCTTGGAGATTCAGTCTCCATTGACTTCATGGATGCCGGCGTCAAGAGTCGACACGGCAAGAGCCAAGTCATGGAGTCCCGCACGTTGTAGTTGATGGATTAAGCAAGTATGCTATTTTTGTTCCTTTGCCTGCAGAGGCACGCACAGAGTTAGTGATCCAGAAGTTTTTCGATTTTTGGGTTAGTGAACATGGAGTCCCGTTGTCCATAGTTAGCGATAGAGATAGTCGCTTCACCAGCCAGAACTGGCAGGAACTTGTGAGAGTCTATGGGTCAAAGTTGCTGATGTCGTTTGGCCGCCATCAAGAGACTAATGGTCAGACCGAGCAGATGAACAAGATCCTGCAGCAAGTTCTGCGCATGTACATTAGACCAGATCATGTTACCCAAGGTAGCCAGTGCATACAATAACAGCGTGCATTTGTCCACCTGCCACACTCCCAACGAGTTGCACAAGTCCTTTAGACCGCGTAGACCGTTTGAGGGACTGAACCGGGATCAGATTCGCAGGCTACCGCCCGGTACCAGGGAGTTCGCGATACAGCACGAGAAAGGGATAGCTACTGTTGTTGAGAACCTCAGGAAGGACCAGCACCGAATGATAGAACAGGCTAATAAGCACCGTCGCCCATCACATTTTCAGGTAGGCGACCTGGTCTGGGTCAAGTCTAAAGAGTTTGCACCTGAGGAGAACATCTCGCAGAAGTTACTGCCCGCGTATAGAGGACTGTGGCCAGTTCTAGAAGTTAAGGGCGGAGAGGATGGACTGTCCTACACAATAGAGATCCCAGCACACCTTCACACCTACCCTGTGTTTCACGCATCAAAGTTGCTGCCGTGTGTCACAAGTCAACAGTTTCCATCTAGACGGTCCATGATCCCTCCAGACATGGACGGAAGATATGACATTGACAGCATTGTAGGTGAAGACGTGTTCAGAACAGGAGGGGTAGAGGTTGTCCACAGAAGCAGTATAAGGTCCGGTTTGCATATCAGGAACCGGAGGACTACCGCTGGTTCACAAGAGCAGGACTTCTAGAGACAGCTCCCGATATAGTTAGAGCCTATGAGAGAGATCAGAGAGGCAAAGGTCCTGCCTTGGACTGAGTTATTCTTGGAGGACCTCGAATTTGGGCCGGCGGGAGTGAAACGGTATTCACCAGTTCGCAGTAGCTGATGCAGACCCCAGGGCTCGATCCCTAGTCCCCACCTTACCTGTGTACAGTATGTGTTGACCCCTAGAATTGAACCTGTGACCTGTGTATTTGTAACAGTCGGTAGGTTGGCGCAGGATCCATAGGTAGCAGGGGTTCGATCTGTAGACCTGTTGAGTAGGAGTCCCAGTCAGGTCGAGACGTCGTAGCTGTAGTTTTCTCGAAGAGTCAAGGTCTCAGCAGCTACAGTCCAGAAAGGTCAAGGTCGTAGCTGCTACAGTACCGAAAGGCCAAGTCTACGGCCTTCCGGAAGGTCCGAGTAGTGGCCTTTCGGTGTGTCCCACGTTTAGGCTGAGGCAAGTGGGCAAGTGGTGAGGCAAGTGGTGGAGTCTACCGGTGCTGAGTCAGCAGTCCCAGTCCTAGGCAGTCCTGGTTCAGTCCAGCAAGTACCGCATGGGACTGTGTGCACTTCGGGCATGGGAAAGGGCCAGACTAACGAGCTGCAGAAGTATAAATCAAGAGGCAGCGCCCAGCCATTCATTCATTCCTGCGTGAGCCATGCGGAAGCGCTGCCACAAGCGACTTGTGCAAGGAGGTCTGCAGTGAGCCCGAAGACGAAGTGGGCGAGAGAGACGGAGTGTAGCCATAGCGATAGGGTAGTAGCGGCCAGAGCCACCATAGCTGTAGTTGGAGTTCAGTGTGTGTGTGTGTGTGTGTGTGTGTTCAGAGATTCGCGTGTGGGATATCCAGGGTGATCCAGTGTATGCGAACAGAGAGTTGCGTGGGCGCTGTGTCGCCATAGCCATTTGGAGTGAACTCGTATCTGAGTTGCGTTCTTGGTCGCCATATCTCTGAGTTTTGAGTGGGTGCTTGTCGCCAATCTTCTGCGCTACTGTTTGCATGCATGTAAAGTGTGAATGAAAGTGAGTCTGATTGCATGATAGGGAAAATTGTACAAGGTGACTTCAGCCTGTAAGGAAGCCCTCTGTACCACGTTTCATTTAGCAGAGCCGAGTCAGTGGCCCTTACTGAACAGTCAAGTTTGGTCTTGCTGTAATTGAATTATGTGGTGGAGTAATGCACTCCGGTGGAGGAGAGGTGGGGGTTCTACTTTCTTGTCAGTCTGCTCTGTTTTGAGCAATCCCATTACATGAATTCCACACACCGAGTTTGTGGTGAATGGTGTTTCAAGTATGGGCAAGATTGATGGTTTTTGTGAATGACAAAAAAGATTCCTGGAGATGGCTCCTTCCATGAGATTTCGCTGTGTAGTTGTAAGTCATTGCTGCACTGATCTCCACTTCCTATGTCGCCATGGGCAAGGAAAATGGGATGGTTGACAAGCTCTTGATGACCATTTGGCTGCTGCACATGTTTCGACTGCTTTCATGTTATGCGTAACCAGGTGTGGGAGATGACTGCCAACAACATCATTATGGTATCTGCTATTGGAAATGATGGGCCTCTTTATGGAACCCTCAACAATCCAGCTGATCAGAGTGACGTGATTGGAGTTGGAGGTATTGATTATAGTGATCACGTTGCATCTTTCTCGTCTCGAGGAATGAGTACATGGGAGCTCCCTCATGGGTATGTACTTGCACACTTTGGTTGCACTTTTCTCTTCTTCGTGCTCCTGGGGCAAGCAAGCCCCATGCCAATTTTTTATTTTGATTTTTTCGCAGTGACATTCAGGGATTTTGAAATTTGGAACATGTCTCGATGTATTTGTGTCATCCTTGCACGGGGACCATGCTAGTCTTCTCTGTATCGCTCCAGTTTGAATGGATGTTAGGAAGGACAGCCTCATTCTATAATTAAGATATGAAAAGAGGGTTTTGAGAAAACCAACTGCAGCCTGTGGGGGTTTCTTGTGGTAGAGCTATGTTGCTCAAGCTCAAATGAAACAGCGTGAGGCAACAGCAGACTGCATATGTAGAATGTATGTTCGGCACATGATACTTGAGATAGGTCGATCTGATGGATGCCCGGTATAGATCTGGGGGAGGGCAAAGTTCAAAGATCACCAACATGAGGAAGTGAGACGATAACACACAGCCGAAGACTCAAATTTGAGAGGTCTTACCTGATTATTCATTAAAATGACGGTGTAACTCAAATCTGACACCAGCATGGGAGGGATCAAAATCCAAAAGAGACCTTCCCACTGCAATTATACACAGGTGAAAGTGCAAGATGGGAGATGGAAAGAGGTGGTGGAACAAGAACAAAATTCAACAAATTGAAACGTTTTTCACCTTTTAGCAGTAGCGGATGCAGTACCCAGGGTTCGATCCCTAGACCTCACCCTACCCATGTACAGTATCTGTGTAGACCCCGAGAATTGAACCTGTGACCTGTGTATTCGTAGGCAGTTGGTAGACCTGTCGTAGGTCCATAGACAGCAGGGGTTCGATCTGTAGGTCTATAGCGTAGGAGTCTTAGTGAGTTCTGGAAGCTTAGCTGTAGACCTTCTAGAAGATAGGCAAGTGGGCAAGTGGTCAAGTGGGGAGGCAAGTGGTGGACTAAACCGCAGTGCAACAGCAGTACAACGTCGGTAGGATGGYGGTRAGACCACAGTCAGTCAGYGGAAGGTCCAGTCAGTCCCAGTCCGGTCCAGCAAGTACCACAGGGGGACTGAGAGCACCAAGGGCCGATGGCAAAGGACAGACCAACGAGTTTCTGAAGCATAAATCAAGAGGCTGCGCCCAGCCATTCATTCATTCCTGCGTGAGCCATGCGGAAGCGCTGCCACAGCGACTTGTGCAAGGAGGTCTGCAGATGAGCCTGGAGGACGCAGTGGGCAAGAGAGAGGGAGTTAGTCTAGCGATAGGTTAGATGCAGCGAAAGCTGCCATAGCTGTAGTTAGAAGAGAGTGTGTGTGTGTGTTCAAGTGTTAGAGTGATGCGTGTGGGATATCCAGGGTGATCCAGTGTATGTGAACAGTGAGATGTTTGGACAAGTCGCCATAGCTAATTGAGAGTGAACTCGTATCTGAAAGCCATATCTCTGAGTTTTGAGTGGGCGCATATTGCCAGTATGCTGCGTTGCTGTTTACATGCATGAAAAGTGTGTTTGAGAACGGGTCTGATTGCATTGGTATCGGAGCTGGTACCAGCTATTCCATGCGCGCCGTCGTATGCAGGGCCTGATGCGCCATAGCCGAGGTGGCAGCCGAGGGAGATAGTCCGCCATAGCGGACCTGAGGTTGAAGAAGCCGCCGCGCACCTGCAAGAAGACACGACGAAGAAGAAGACCGAGAGAGAGAGAGAGAGAGAGATACAAGATTGGGTTACACGTACCTGCCGCGCTGAAGATACCGCTACGG